AGATTGACATTAAAATCCATCATAATCAGTAACAAAAAATCAACTACAATATCAAAGCCATTAATAGTAACAACACAAGACCTGTACACACGATCAAAAACTATGGGATCTCCAATTGGTGTAGACACAGAATCATGAGGCATTCTCAAATGCGAAGAAAAATATGAAGACACATAAGAATATGTAGAACCCGGATCAAACAACACAGAAGCATCTCTATACCAGACTGAGATAATACTTGTAATAACTGCTTCGAACGACTTTGCATCGGGATGACCCGAAAATACATAACGACGGGTTTGAGCCCCACCAACCTACCCTTACCTCTAGGACGACCTCTCACTGACTGGCCTCCACCTCTAACTGATTGGCCTCCACCTCGGGCTACCTGAACCCCGCCTTTAGCTGGATGAGCGGGTGGTGGAGCAACCGGTGACGGAATTATGGCATGAGTATCCTGCTTTATCAAGCTGCCATACATCCCAAGATAATATTTCCTGATATGACCCCCATTTCCGCACTCAAAGCATCCCCTTGGCTGACATTGCTGCTGAATATGAGACTGACCTTGATGACCCGAATAATCACTGTAATAGCTCTGAATCGGTTGTGCACTAATTGGAGTTAGGAGGTCCATAAGCACTAAGAATGCCTGAAATACTATGTGTGACCTGTAGGGCTGACGGTACCAGCCTGATAGGATGGACTCTACAAATGGAAGCACTGCCTCCAGACGAGGCACCGATGAATCCTCCAAGATAATGGGGCCTCTTACCAGAGGTTGTCTCCCTTGCCTAGACTCAATTGCGCTAAATCTTCTTGATGATCTCCACTACCTGAGTAAAAGAAATCTCGATCTCAGCCTCTCTGGCCATCTAAAGTTTGATGCCATATGTAAGACCCTTGATGAACCTTTGCACCTTCTTCCTCTCAGTAGGGATCAGCATAGCTACATGGCGAGACAAATCAATAAATCTAGTCTCATACTATGTGACAATCATGTTACACTGCTGAAGGCACTTGAACTGACTACGTAACTCCTCTATCTAAGTGAAGGGAATAAACTTCTCCAATAAAAACTACAAAAATTGGGCCCATATTAGAAGTGGTGATCCCGTTTGGCCTACCATGCTCATACACCTGCCACCACCTCTTGGTAGAACCATGCATATGAAAGACAGTGAAATCAACTCCATTGGACTCCATTATCCCCATGTTGCACAAAACCTCATTGTAATGGTCCAAGAAATATTCAAACTTCATGGTAGAGCAAAGTCGCACGATAGAGAAAGAAAGAATGTAAGGTTTTCCTAATACCTTATAGCCTTTAGAAGATAAGTGCAGGTGTCTCCGCACAAATACTCAACACTCTGCCAAGCTCGCTCAAGAGTCATGAGACCTATGCAACCTAGAGCTCTGATACCAACTTGTCACGATCTAAAATCCCAACCATATGGGTCTGTGATGGCGCCTAACATCCGCTTGCTAGGCAAGCCAATATAAGCACAGTAACTAAATAAGTTTAACAACTAAGATACTTTAAAATAGTAAATGAGTGAAATACCATTAATGTATAATAGGAGTACAACCAACGTTGTGTAAGTCTATCCCCAGAATAAAAGTCTAAAATAAAAATACAACACTGTTGGAAAAATAAACAGTAGATAAAGGTAGGAAGGGGACTCTAGGGTCTGCGATCACCAAGCAACACTACCTCAACTCTCCTAGATGAAAAGGGTCCGATCTACCACCTCTGAACATCGCTGGGAACAACACCAGAATCTTTACAAAAAGTGCAGAAGTGTAGTATGAGTACAACCGACCATATATACTTAGTAAGTATCGAGACTAATCGTGACAAAACACTCATTATAAACATGTATGAGTAATAAGCAGAGAAGCAATAATGAGATAGAGAAACAAATTACATAATAAACGGAACAAGAAAGTAAATGACATAGGGCCCTAGATTACCATCACATCACAATCTTACAATACAACACGGTAGAGGAAGATAACAACCAAGAATAACCACAATTCATCTTTTCGTTTTGACGCGCAACCTGATCCGCATATCGATACCAATACCGTTGCGCCATGCAACCCGATCCCCACACACACACACATATATCTATACATATTTTCCATTTCACATGCAACCTAATCCACATATCGCTACTAATATCGTTGTGGCATGCAATTCTATCACACCCCAAACTCAGGGAGCGCGACCAACGCTCAACCGAGTGAATCGGGCTAAGCAAGCATGTTGAATACTTTCTACACAAAATCTCCCATGACTTAAAGATAATACATAAAAATTTTAATTAACCAATAAGGAGATCATGTAGACAATACCAAATTCATTACCATTAGTTACTTCCTTTAATAAGTATCAAAATACACACACTTTTGCGGTTTGAAGTGGAACAAGCGATTCAACAAAACTTGTTTGACATTCCCAGCACCCATATACAACCCACACTATGTCTACGGAGCCTCTAAAAGGTACAAAAGCGTATTATGATAGTGCCAGCAACAAGGCTCTGGCTATACCTCAAAACGTGATAATATAATAAACAAAAGATACATGACCCCAGAATGAAGTAGGGCTCACCAAGTCTGATGGGAGGAGGGTGTACCACTATTGCTGATTAACGCCATCTGCTATGGGACCACCTGCATCCAGTAAAGATGCAACGCCTCCGGCAAAAGGGACATTAGCACTGTGGAATAGTACTAGTATATATGACAAAATACCCTCTCAAAAGAACAAACAGTAATGCATGTAAGGACAATCATAATATCAGTTAAAGCCTCAAACAATTACAAAATATCAGCTTAGGGATAAAATAAGTTTTCAATTAAATTTCCATATTTTAAGTTGGGAAATCTTTAGTACCGATATATCACTATTCACCATTTTGATTACAATTTCCAACATGGTCACCACCATATGTGTGGCATGGCATCCTATCACGACCCGATCGGCTAGGCTGTCTCATGTGAGACATCAACCACAATCACAATTTTAATTACCATTTCCAATACAGTCACCACCATTTGTGCGATATGGCATTCAATCATGACTCGATCGGCTAGGCCATCTCATGTGAGACATCTTGAGACTTACAAGGACATTGTGGGGTTCAATTCTAAGAGGAGAGTTTAGCCAACATACCTCACTTGAGCTTCCTTAAACTCTAAAATATTTTGGAAATCTTATCAACTTCAATCGATTTTAGAAATATAACAAGTTGAAGAAAAAAATTAGGAAGATGATTATGGTTCCAGCTCATTTCGGTAATTTATCAAACACTAAGTGTGCATTAAGGTTTCAAGGTTCTTTTATGGAGGATTCCGTCATCCCACAACCCATTCTTTACCATTTTTAGCTCAACAATCTTCCTATACCCCTTGACAACACATGCATGCAAAATAAACAACTCCCATACCCAAGAATTATCTTATTAATTACCCATTTCTATTAAATTTCGAAATTAAGGGCTAGGGTGTAGAATCTTACCTTTTGGTTGAAGACATTGTGAGTTACTCTAGAGAAATCTTCAAGGTTTGGGCAAATATTGATGACAATGGTTTAGAATTCCTCTTCTCACTCTAGACCACCTTCCTCTCTCTAAAAAATATGAGTTTTATCCTTCTAAAATGACCCTTACTAGTGTTTTATGAGATGGGGGTCAGTTTATAAAAACCCAAAAATGAAGCTCTGAAATGGAATCTATGGTCGCCTATGCGACCGCATAATGCTTCTGCGGTCCGCGAAATGGGCCGCAAAAATAGCCTCCGGAACTGGGCACCACTAACTGAGTGTGCGGCTCGGTCCGCATATCGATTCTGCAGTCGTAAAACGGGCCGCAGAATCTCCTCCCAGAATTCCTCACGCCGATTCTACGATGCAATCTGCGGACCCAAAATAATTCTGTGGCCCCATAATGGTCCACAATTCTTGCTCAAGTTTTTGCTTCACTCTATGGTCATTTTGTGGCCCGCAGAGTGGGCCGCAGAAATGCCTTTTTCTGCCAACATTTCCTTTAACTCCCTAGCGCACTGCTCAACCCAAAAGATCTGTACCGCGGCGAGCAAGGAATCTCTACCATCAGCAAACACATTAGACTACCTCGGTGCCACGAAACCTCAAGTTTAGGTGAAATTTTATGGGGCCTTACAGCCTCCCCCACTTATGATCATTGTTCCTCCAATGAGGGTCAAAGTTCACTATTAGCACCAGATGCGACTCAACTACCATACCACACACCAGCAGTCCCAAATTTTGACTAACTCCCTAAATTTCCAAAAATATCGCTAGAGTTTCCCTTGTAACTGGTCCTATCAACCTATCAGAGACTCCCATAAACCATCCTAACAGCATGTACATAATCTAACGATGCAACATAACATGAAACAACACCAACCATGGCCTCATAAGCAATATAGTACTAGAAAGGAAACTTCTTGAGCATAAACTGTACAAGTGATACATAGTTCATATGAAGTAATTTCTTAGAAACTATTACATAGCTATTCAAACAAATGAGGGTACTTCTTTTTCATTTCTTCCTCGGCCTCCCAAGTAGCCTCTTCAACCTGCTGGTTTCTCCATAACACCTTCACAGAGGCAATTTCTTTATTTCTCAACTTTCGGACTTGCCTATCAAGAATGGCAACTGGAATTTCTTCATATGACAGTTCTTTAGTAGCCTCAATAGTTTCAACTGGCATGATAAGCGATGGATCTCCGACTACTTTCCTCAACATAGACACATGAAATACCGGGTGCACTAATGACATCTCAGGTGGTAGCTCAAGATTGAACGCTACCTGACCAATCCTCTGAATGATTCTGTACGGTCCGACATACCTCGGGCTCAATTTCCCTCTCTTTCCAAACCGCATTATACCCTTCATGGGGGAAATTTCAAGAATACCCAATCATCTTGTTTGAACTTCAAATCCTTACGATGAACATCCGAATAGGACTTTTAACGGCTCTGAGCAGTTTTCAACCGCTCTTTAATGATCTTGACCCTCTCCATAGCCTGATGCACGAGGTCTGGTCCTACCAATTCAGCTTCGCCAATCTCGAACCACCCAATAGGAGATCTACATCTCCTACCATATAACGCCTCGAATGGTGGCATCTGAATACAAGCATGATAAATGTTGTTGTAGGCGAATTCTATGAGTGGCAAATGGTCATCCCAGCTACCCTTGAATTCAAGAACACAAGCGCACAACATATATTCAAGCGTCTGAATAATCCGCTATGCCTGTCTGCTAGTCTGTGGGTGGAAGGTTGTACTAAGATTCACCTGAGTACCAAAACTTGCTTAAATTTCTTCCAAAAATTAGCCGTGAACTGTGCCCCTCGATCAAATATGGTAGAAATTGGAGTTCATTGCAACCTGACTATTTCCTTGATATACAACTAAGCATATTATTCCGTTGTGTCCGTAGATTTAACTGGCAAGAAGTGTTCTGATTAAGTGAGTCGATCCATAATAACCCAAATTGAGTCAAACTTGCACAGAGAGCGCGGCAGTCCTACCACAAAGTCTATATTAATCATTTCCTACTTCCATATTGGAATTTCTATGTTCTGTGCCAACCCACCGGGCCATTGGTGTTTCGCCTTTACTTGCTGACAACTCGGACATCTTGCCACAAAAGTCCGCCACATTCCTCTTCATGCCATTCCACCGATAGACTTCCTTGAGATCATGATGCATCTTTGTAAAGCCCAGGTGCACGAAATACCTGGAAGTGTGACCCTCGATCATGATTCTTTCCCTGAGACCATCTATATTTGGAACACATAGCCGCCCTTGGTACCTTAGTGTACCATCATCCATGCCAAGAGAAAAAGCCATAGTCTTGTGTTTATTAATAGCCTCCTTCAATTGTACTAACAATGGATCGTTGTTCCACAACAAGCGATGATTCAGCCCTACTTTGCACAATTACCCCTCTTTCACTAGAGTCTGCAAGACAAACTCCCAAAATAGCTAACCAACGAACCTCCTTGGCTAACGGCCTTTGATGTTCCTCCAAGTGAGCCAAACTACCTATAGATTTCCAGATGAAAGCATCCGCCACAACATTGGCCTTTCCCGGGTAATACAGAATATCGATGTTGTAATTTTTGAGTAAGTCCAGCCATCTTCTCTGCCTCAAATGCAATTCCTTATATTTGAAAATGTATTGAAGGCTCATATGGTCCGTGAATATATCCACATGGACACCCATACAAATAATGACGCCAATTCATCAATGCAAATACCACCGCTGCAAGTTCTAAGTCATGTGTTGGATAGTTCTTTTCATGATTCTTGAGTTGCCTAGAATCATAAGCTACCACCTTGCCATGTTGCATCAATACATACCCAAGCTCGATCCTTGAAGCATCACAATACACCGCAAACCCATCTGTACCCTCTGGCAGGGTTAACAACAGTGTCGTAGTCAATCTTGGTTTCAGCTCCTTTCACAAGCATCTGACCATTGGAACTTAACCGCCTTCTGCGTCAATTTAGTCAACGGAGAGGCAAGAGTGGAGAACCCCTCCACAAATTTCTTGTAGTAACCAGCTAAGCCCAAGAAACTGCGAAACTCTATTGGAGTTGTGGGCCTGGGCCAATTCTTCACAGCTGTAATCTTCTGAGGGTCACCCTTAATTCCTTCTCTGGAGACAACATGACCTAAGAATGTGAAAGATTCAAGCAAAAATTCGCACTTCAAAAACTTCACATACAGCCGGTGCTGACGTAGAGTCTATAGAGTTGCCTTGAGGTGATCGGCGTGTTCCTCTCGACTTCGTGAATATAAAAGCATATCATCAATAAACACTATCACGAATGAGTCGAGGAACATCTTGAAAACTCGATTCATAAGGTCCATGAAATCTGTTGGGGCATTTGTTAGCCTAAAAGACAGTACTAGGTATTTAAAGTGCCTAGACCGGGTCCTGAAAGCTATTTTCGGAATATCCTACTCCCTGATCTTCAATTGGTGATACCCGGATCGTAAATTAATTTTAGAGAAGTACTTAGCACCCTGTAATTGATAAATAAATCATCTATCCTTGGTAGTGGGTACTTATTTTTTGTTGTGACTTTGTTGAGATGCCTGTAGTCAATACACATCCGTAGTGACCCATCTTTCTTTCTTACAAAGAGAACCGGTGCGCCCTAAGGCGAGACACTTAGTTGGACGAAACACTTCACTAATAAATCATTCGATTGCTCCTTCAGCTCTTTCAATTATATCGGTGCCATTCTGTAAGGTGGAATAGATATAGGCAGCATGCCTGGCATCACATAAATCCCAAAATCAATCTCCCTGTCTGGTGGGATCCCAGGGAGCTCATCTGGAAAGACATCCAAAAATTCATTCACAACTGGCACAAACTCAAGTATAGGTGCCTCAGCATCGGTGTCTATAACTCGGACCAAATAGTAAATACATCCCTTGTTAATCATCTTTGTGGCCTTCAGGTAAGAAATAAACCTACCATTTGGCACCACATTATGCCCCTTCCATTAAACCACTGGCTCATTTGGAAATTCAAACCCCACAGTTCTAGTTCGGCAATCAAGCTTGGTAAAACATGAATAAAGCCAATCCATTCCAATTATTACATCAAAATCAATCATCCCCAATTCAACGATATCGGCCATGGTGTCCCGACCATGCACCGTGACAACACAAACCCTACAAACCCGTGCGGCCATAAAGACTCACCAACCACAGAAGAGAATGGCGCATGGAGTTGTTCCGGTTCTATCCTAAATTCATAGCAACATAAGGAGTGACATAGGACAAAGTGGAATCGGGATCAATAAGACATACACATCATGAGACTGGACAATCAATATACCTATGACGACGTCTAGAGAAGCCTAAGCACTCTGGCGACCACTCATATCATAGAAACGGCCGGGTCCTCCCAAACTCTACGCACCACCCCTAGCTGCACCACGCCCTGCGGGTGCTGGAGTGCCTCGAGTTGGAGGGGGTGCTGAAGATGTAGCAGCTGAAGAACTAGATGGATGTGTTGTGCCCCAGCCTGCACCCTGGCAGGTCGAACGACACTCTCTCTCTCAATATGACCCCTCAATCCGCACTCGTAGCATATGGATAGGTCCATGTAGTAGATCCCCAAGTGCATTTTCCCACACCTAGGGCATGGGGGCCTCCGCTGCTGCTGGAATCTCCCTCCGGACCAGCCCTGCTGGTGGGGTCCCCTGTTGCCCTAATTAGGCCTAAAACGACTCCACTACTGCTGACTGGTCCTTGATAGCGGTGCAATGGCTAAAGACTAAGCAAAAGACTGGGATGGCCCTGATGACCCTCCCCTGAGTGCTGATCTACTACCACCAAATGAATCTCCAAAGTTGCTCGAGGACTGAGCCTTACTGCGACCCTCTCCCTCCATTCTGTTCTTCAACTTACATTTCTCTATAGCTTGAGTAAATTCCACCATCTTCCCATAGGTCATGTCAGAATTTGAGGCAGCTGTAGCGGCCTCGTTGATAACCAAGGGGCTAAGGCCCTGCACAAACCAGCACACTCTAGCCTCCATAGTGGGACACATGTGAATAGCATACTTGGACAGGCGCGCGAACTCCATGTGGTACACCCACACACTCTTGCTACCTTGCTTTAGGTTCTCAAACTCAGCAGCATGGGCTACCTTTGCCTCGGCAAACGAAATGATTCATGAAGGCGTCAGCAAACTCACTCCACCTCGCTGGAGGGCTCCCCTCCTCACGGGAGTCCTCCCACAGCTCAAACCAAGGACAGGCCACTCCTTTCAGGCGATAGGAGGCCAACTCCACTCCCTCTGTCTCAGTAGCACGCATAACTTGGAGAGTCTTGTGCATCTCATCAATGAAGTCCTAGGGGTCCTCCTCACGATTAGTTCCCGTGAACACTGGAGGATCTAACTGAAGAAACTTGTTCACCCTGGAACCAGTAGAACCCCCTTGCTGGCTAGAAGGAGTGGGTGCAACATTTGATCTCTGGGCTTGGGAAACCACTATCTAAGCCAACATCATATAGCTCCCTAAGATCCCCATCAGAAACAACGGGACCGGGAGCTGTGGCTGGAGGTGGAACCGTAATATCAGTTGGAGGAATTGTTGTACCCTCAGTAGGTGCAGGAACTAGTGCAGTCTGGTCAGGTGCAGTGGAATCAGGAAGTGTAGTAGTCGGGGGAATATTCTCGCCCCTCAAGTACTCAACCACATCATCAAGTAAAGAATCATCTGCCATTCTTGGGGCGGCATTGGCTCATTGGCCAGTTCTTGCCTTCTTCCTAGGTGCCATGTACTCAAAGTTAGAGAAATGCACGAGATAGAGGAGGAACAGTCTTACAATAAGCTCTATCACATGTTCCGGAACATCAAAGAAGGGTATTAATCCTAAATGTCCAAGTAGCCTCCAACTTATAGATGCGGTTGACAACACACCCATAAAAAAGACTCTACTAGACACGACTCTGAGACATCCTAGGACACTTTTAAACCTTAGCTCTAATACCAAGTTTGTCATGCCCCAAACTCGGGGAGCAAGACCGGCGCTCATCCAAGTGAACCCAGTTAAGCAAGCCTATTGAATACTTTCTACCTAAACTCTCCCATGATTTAAAGAGAATACATAACATTGTTAATTAACCAATAAGGAGATCATGTAGACAATACCAAATTCATTACCATTAGTTACTTCCTTTAATAAGTCTCAAAATACACACACTTTCTGTCACGCCCCAAAACCGAGGAGCGCGACCGGCGCTCAACTGAGTGAACCCGACTAAGCAAGCCTGACAGGTTTCATTCTACCCAAATGAATTGATGCATAAAGACGAGATGAACTCCATCAATCATACTTTGTAATTATTTCATTAACAACATCCATTTTATTTCCATTAATAGTTTCAACCATAATATCCAAGATGTTACAGATTTTATAGATATGAAGAAAAATATGTTTGTCAAATACCAATATTTCTAATTTAATTTCCAATACCAAACACCACCCACAACCTGTCTATGGAGCCTCTAAATACAACTGAAGAATAATATGAAAATGCCGGCAACAAGGCTCCGGTTATACCTCAAAATACAATGTACACGATAACCAAATGACACTTGACCCCGAAATGAAGTGGGGATCACCAAGTTAGCTGAAAGGAGCATACCGCTATCACTGATCACTGCTGCCTACTGTGGAACCACCTGCATCCATTAAAGATGCAGCGCCCTCGGGAAAAGGGACGTTAGTACTGTCGAATAGTACTAGTATGAATAGCTAAAAGTCCTCTTTCAAAATAGAATGCCAATATAAGAAAAGAAAACCATGTAAACAACAAGTAATAATCAATGATATCCAAAGGTCAAGCTAAAACATATCAATTTTTAAATATACGAAAGTTCATGTGGTGAAAATGACACTCGCAATATGAAGGCAATGTTATTATTGGATAGAAGATCTTTAGTACCGATTCACCACAATTCATAATACTACTATTTCAATCACAATTTCTGTGCCATATATATATATATATATATATATATATATATATATATATATATATATATATATATATATATATATATATATATATATATATATATATATATATATATA